TTATTTTGGGTTCTTTTCCATTGTAATTTCATTATTTCTTTTCTGAACTACACATATCTCTCCGCCTAACTCCTTGTAATCCTGTATCGCACCGTAATTAACAGATCCATTATAGAAAACGCATCGGGCCGTGACACTCTTGGTACGTCCTTAAAACGCGGTTTCCATAAACTACTTACTAGACCATATGCCTTCATCCGCAAACCCTCCTTCTTTCTTGTCTTTGGTGTCTATTGCATGACCTATACCGCTGCCAACGCTATTGATACTATATGCTCGTTCATCTCCTGTGAAAGTCAAGTGCCAAAGTTCTTCGGCACTACGATAGTCAACTTGTCTACTTGCATTTATAAAGATCGAGCTTTTACTCGCATGTTCGGAATGGTTGCACCCAAAGGCCTCCCGTTAGGCACCTACGGCCTATTTGCAGCTCGCGATGCATTAACCGTAGCCGCAAGTTTTAACGCACCTGCTGGAGTGTCCGCTCGTCTTCGAGATTCTCAGTTCCTAAAGAGTCACGGTATCTCGTTAGGTTACGACACCTCGCTAAATATAGCACAAATATTATGTCCTTCAACGATGCAGGTTTTTGGCTGTACATTTCACTTGTTAGGGTTGGATTTGTATAATCGGCCAAAGGTAGGTTGGAAGGAAAGGATAATGTTCTTAAACAGGACATACTTGAAGACGGTGGTAACACGGATCGCGAGGATTGGACCGGCGTTCGGGATTGGAGGTGTTGGGAATCGAATGATTAGGGATAAGGGGAATATGTTGTTGATAAGCACAAGTAAACATTTAATGACAAAGAGGGGTAGCACTGTTGCAACCACGACGGTACCAAGTCCAGGTAAAGGGGTGCATAATGTTGCACTTTCGGCGAATCGATAATAGGAAAATGGTGGAACTGAGACTTGGGGAATCTCTGTTTTTATTGGCTAGAGACGATAATAAAACGATTGTAATTTTTTTTCTTGCTTAGAATTTCATTTCCTCCCTATTATGCACGGTTGTGCAATTTATTCTTTCTCCCAACTCTACAAGTAGTATGTTTTGTTACTCATTCTATTTTTCAATCAATCTATAAGAAATTATGAATAATTATCTTTAAAATAAATTCAAACCCTGGCATCAGTTTTTGTTTCCATCTAGAAAGTCCGGGCGATAAATTTAACTCGTGATTGTTCTTTTCTTTTATGTTATGTTAATTCTTTACTTGACCGAAGTTCACCGGGAGCTAAATCTTTGCACCGAAGAATTATCTAATGCAATTGATGAGATATAAAGTTGAACGTTTACGAATTTTATTTAACATTTTATCCAAATATTCAGTAATTTACAAGATTAAAATTATCAATCCAAATATTATCAGGATATCAGAAATCTTCAAAATTTTCAGATTATTATTATTTTTTTTTTTTAACCCGCAATCATGTCAAAATGGTTGGTCTATATTAAGATACTTGAAAAAATACCAAAATAACCTGCAGACTTTCTCACATAATGACTAATTTGTCTTTGTACATTATTAGTTAAAAAACTACACTACTTAAAAAATATGGATTAAACAAAACTGAGTCTCAACTAGGTACTTTAAGTCAAATTTAGGAGACAATATTATGCTCTCCTGGTAGCTTGCACTAGTTGAAATTGTGTCATTCGGTTGTCAAATTATTGTCAAATTTGGTAAAAATTAATAATAAAAAGATTGATGAATTATTTATGATTGCTATCACTCAGTATTAAAAATATCAACAAAAAATTGGCAAAAAATATTGATATACTGCAAAAAAAAAATTTGGCTCAAAATCTGGCAATATTGTGACAAAAAAAATTTTACATATTATGACCAAAAATTTGACAAAAAAATTGATACTGTGGCAAAAAATTCAGCAAAAAAATTAATATTGTGACAAAAAATTCAATAAAAAAATTGATACTACAACAAAAATTTCAACAAAAAAATTAATACTGTAGCAAAAAATTTGACAAAAAAAAAAATTAATATTGTAACAAAAAATTCAGCAAAAAAATTGATACAATAGCAAAAAATTTAGCAAAAAAATTGATACAGCAGCAAAAAATTTGACAAAAAAATTGATACTGTAGCAAAAAATTTGACAAAAAAATTAATACTGTAACAAAAATTTGGCAAAAAAATTACTATGGGAAAAAATTCAACAAAAAAAATTACTGTGAGAAAAAATTCAACAAAAAAATTATTGTAGCAAAAAATTCAAATTTCATGAAATTTATTAAAAAATTACAAAATCAATTGACTAAATTATTTATTATTTTTTTCTTCCTCCTCTTTCTTTTTTTCCACTTGTTTTTCTTTTCTCTTTAAAGATCTCAGCTTGACTCTTTTAAAACTAGTCCCAATTGATTTTATCTTGTCAAATATTTTTCAGAATTTTCACTTTTTTCTTCTAATCTAACTATCCCCTGAATTTCACCTATTCATGCACTTTCTTCAGTTTGTTTCTCACTCTCTAAATACATTAATGATTCCTCATATTTGATAATTTTTCGTCTTTTGGATTTATCTGCTGATTTTTTACCTTTTTCTGTCTTTTTTTCTTGTTTACGTTCTGAAATTTCTTTCAAACTGTATGTCCAATTAGACAAGCCTTTTTGTGGAATTATGTCATAGAAATATAAATCATCATAATATCATTTACAAGTTAACTGAAATGCTTGAATTGATTTCAAATATTCATTCAAATATTTCAACAAATCCTTTAACTATAAGTAATTATAATTAATATTGTAATTATTTGACATAAAATATTTTGCTGAAAAATATCTCTTCGGAATGTAAACTGTAATTATATTCTTCTTTTAGTAGGATTTTCCAAATCAGTATCACTTTCTTTAAATAAATGCACCTTTGTTTCTTCAATTATATCAGTTAATTCATTTCAATATTTGGCAACTTTTTTTGACCTTTGTTCAATAAGCAACTGTGCGCTTTTAATTCTTTGTACCCTTTTCTTAATTATTTGTTAAGAATTAATACTTGAAAGTAGTATAAATATAGAATATATTATTCTTACTTTATTTAACCAACTATTTGCATATAAACAACAATTGTCTACTTCCAGTTTTTCAGTTTCTACCTTCTGATATCTTTCTCTCTGATAGTAATATAAAGTGTCTAACCATTCAATTATTTGCTTTCATGAGGAATTAAAACATGAGACCATGTATTTTATTAATTCAAATATCAACTTTTGTAATATTTTTTTATTCCATCACTCAAAAAAACTTCATCTATCCTCAATTTATATTTATCAGAAATGGTTTTCATTAAGGCCTTCATTTCTACTCTCATTTCTTCTAGTTTCAGCTTATCTTCAGTAACTGGTTTTACTAGTTTTGTCTCTTTACTACTTCTTCTAGATTGAATTTTTGGTACTTTTCTAAACTTGGCAAATTTTCGAATTCTGATATATCAGCTACTCTAGATTCTATAACAACTATAAGATTACATTTAGGTTTCACAAATTTGAGCTAATCAATTTCCTTTTTTTAAATCTTCTATTTCATTTTTTTGTTGTTCTGATTCTTCAGAAAACTTGTTGTTAATATATTCCATTAGGTTTAATTGTTTTACAAATTCAGCATTTTCTTTTTCTAGT